TGTCAGGGCTGCTGGGGCGGGATCGGGGGTGCAGACGCGCAGAGGTTTGGGGCGGTGCCGTTTGATTGTGTGTCCAGCTGGACTAAGCTGCGTTCGATTCGTGCGAATCGTGCGTACATGATTGGATTGGGGGTGAGGAGAACGGCTTTGATTCGAGGTTTGGGAGGGAGTGGTGCATGGAATGGGGTGCGCCTTTTGGGGGGGAGGGGCCGGTTGGCGTGCAGGGTCCTGCCTGCCAGCGGCGCCGCCCTGGAGGTTGGCGTGGCTGCGAGCAGCGCAGGGTTGAGGACAGCCCACGCGCAGGCCGAAAACAACCCGCCGCGTTGCCGAGCACGCCCTTTCCGCACGCTCCTGCAGGGCAATGCAGCGTGCTGCCCCGCCCCGCTCCAGCGCCCCGCAGCAGCCGGGCAGCTCGGCCCCCGCGCCGGTCGCATCGATTCGCCGCTCTTTTGCTTCTTTTGCGCCATACTCCGAATGAGAACGCACCAGGATGTGCGGGATGCCTGTTGAGTCGCCGACGGGTGTCCTGAAGACAGCGCCAAAGGTCTTGTTCTCGTCACTGTTCAGCACACTGATGAGCTCAGCGCCTGGGGGGGGAAGGGGAGGGGGGAGGTCGGTTGGTTGGTTCCCAGGAGGGCGCCTTGAAGCTTTGTGCATCCGAGTAGCTGCTTTTGTTGTGTTTCAATCCTGATCTTCCTAATCTCATTATGCTGTAGAAAGGGGGTTAGCGTGTGCACATGTGTTGAGGGCTGAGGTGGAGAACGCTACTGAGGACTGCGCGCGCTTGGGCCCCACACCCGCGTCCTGGCAGCTGCTGCCACCGCGGCGTCGGCGCGTGCCGCCGTTGCTCCTGCTCCCAATGCCTCGTCGCTGTCGCGTCGTGGGCCGCGCGCCGCGCCCGCGCCGCGCCCGCCTTCAACTGCTGCCGCCACCACCGCAGGCCTGAACCAGCCGGCGCTTACGCTATCAACCCTGCGCCAAGCGCCCCTGAGCAAGCCAACCAGCACAGCCAGCACACATGCCCATCACCCCGCGTGCCAGCCCCACTAGGCACGCGCGCGCCAACACGCGCCTGCCGCTTCCCGCCGCCCCGCGGCTGGGCGGCAGCGCTCGAGCGCGCCGCCAGCCGGACGCCTGCACCAAACTCATGCAGCCCGCCCACACCCAAGCGTCAGGCTGCGGCGTCCCATGCCCCCCATGATAACAAAATCAGCGTCACAATGAACATGCACAGAAACACATACGCATAGCAGTTTCATGAACATGCGATCCATGTGTTCCGTAACCAGGTGTTTTCAACCAGCACCAGGCGGCTCACCCGTCTTCTTGTGGCGGTACAGGCAGACGTTCGAATCGTACTCGCGCACAAACTGGTGGCGCACCAATTCGAAGCCGTGCGCCTCCTTCACTATCTCAACCTGCTTGCCCGCCGCCGGCTCCGCGGCCGCAACAGCGTAGGCGCGCACGCCGAGCGGGCGGCCCGCGGGCGCGGCGAGGCGGCGGAGGGCGGCGGCGCCTGGCGGGGGTGTTGTGGGGCACGTGTGGGTGGGTGGTTGCGGCGGGTGTGCATGCGTGCGGGGAGGGCGGCGTCGGTTGGTGCAGGACATTGCATGTCCCCTGATCCGTGGCCGGCACGTGGGAAAATACCTTTGTCGTGCTGTGATCCGGCCGCACGACGGGCAAACGGCCGCACGACAGGCACCAATCACTCACAACTCACCGCTGCGCACGGCGGGGGAGGCGCCCGCGCCGAACACCGCGGACATGAGGCGCGTCCTGCCGCCCTGCTGCGCCAGCGGGCGCACGGCGAGGGGCCGGCCGCAGGCTGCCTGCGCAGACGCAGCGAGTGGGTTCGGCGAGGCGGGCGCGTGTGATGCACGATCGTTGGCTCGTGCGCCAGCCATGGGTTCGGCTCGGGAGCAGCTGGCATGGATTTTTGGGTACACATGTTTTCATATGCGCACGCAGTTTGCACGCGTCGAACAAGGACGCTTCCGCAGCCCGTAGTGAGGGCCGTGCGCCACTCGCCCCGCGCGCCCATTTTGACAGCCAGGTCCAATTACCCGCGTCCAAAACGAGATGTTCACCTGCGTGGCGGCGCTCCTAGCCATCTTCTGGCTTGTCGACATGACGCCCACGCTGATCACTCCGCACCAGATCCTTCGCAGAGCCAGCTTGCTGTTCAGAGCAATTCTGTGGCTAGACGCAACAAATTCGCGCTGAAAGGTTGTGCATAGTATCCTGCACAGGGCGTCTTCAAGTGCGCGATGCGTTCCTTGCGAGGTCAGCGGTTACGCAGGTGCTGGTGGTGGCGGTGACGCCGCCGCCAAGTTGGCACTCCGCATGCGGGGTCGCTGCAATAATATGCCGCATAGTCGCAAGCGCATCTGCATAAGTGTATCAAGGGGTACCGGTGGCGCGGGTATGGGCAGGGATATCCCACTCGCTTTGAGCGTCCTGCTGCTTGCCACAGCTGCCGTGTGCGGTGTCTACGGTGGTGACCACTCCAGGCGCCCCACTGCAATCGCCCTCGTAAATGCATGCATGCCATGACGGAGTTTACCTAGCAAATCTGGGGTCGCTAGTGAGCTTGAGCGCTTTCAGCGGCAGCAGCAGCAGCAGCAGCAGCAGCAGCAGCAGCAGCAGCAGCAGCAGCAGCAGCAGCACATACTGGCAGCCTGGTCGGCCACCGGCTGCACCCCACCCCACCCCCTGTGCTCACTCTGCGCCATGAGGAACAACACACAAGCGAGATTTGGCAGGGGTCCGCGCAACATCGTGGACCTGGTTGACTGATTGATGCCAGCGCCAAGCTGCAAAGTTGGTGCGTGCGGTCGACGCATCCATTTGCGTGTGCCTGTGCCGCAGAGGCAGCAGCCTGTGGTCCCCAGCAGCGCAGGTCTGCCTCAGCTGAGTGCCTGCACTCCATCTGCTGCCAAGTAGTTCCCTGCTGTCAAGTCCCGTGTCGGGCCCAAACCGCTCCGGCTGCAGCTGCCCTTACCAGACCAGCCATGCCAGTCCAGCTGCACCAGTCCAGCTGCACCGGCAGGGCTCGGCTGCTGACAGCGCGCTGACGCGGCCGGGAATGGCAAGGAGCCCGGGCCCCCCCTCCCAGGTGATTTCCAATCCGGGCCCCAAAGGGACTCCAAACACTTGCAGGATCGACGGTGTCTGGCCCGCCCTCCGGCCGCCCATTGGACAGCCGAGCTGCTCCACTCCTGCTCGCAACGCCTGTTACAGCGCCGTTTGTGGCACATGCAAACGCCGGACGCGGCCGCATGATGGTGCGGCGTCATGCGCTATTTATGAATGTGTATCCCATGCACATGAGTCCCGAATGAGAATCGTTAGGGCCAAAGCAAGCCCATCCTGCGTGCAAAAGGTCCCTTGAGAGAAAGCAGAACGCGCCAGAGCAGCAGCAGCAGGCCGGACGGTGCGGAACGCCGGATTATACCAGTACAGGCGCCGCAAACACACGCGCGCGTGCCCGCACGTGTGCGCGGGGCGGCAGGGGAGGGGAAGGGAGAAGGGAGCTGCCTATGTGATACAACCACCAGGGCACGCGCCGCCGGGCAAAGTCCCGAGAACCGCACGAAATGGACAACCCCGTTTCGCGCCAGCCGCCAACTCACGTCGCCACCACCATACCGGGCTCCACCCCTCTCCGCCGCCCGCCC